CCCCAAAACCCCAAAACCCCAAAACCCCACAGGTCATTTTATTCATTGAGATTATAATTTTATTTCAAATTTAAGATGTCTGAATTAGATTCAAAAGAGGGAGTCAAGCTCCCTGGGCTTATTGAGGAAACAAAGATGATGATTGGCAAACATCCTCACCCTCCTACGGGGCTTCATGAGGGAAGCAAGAAAACAGATTCTCTTTCAATTAATGCTGATCTTTTACCACAGAATGTTTCAAATTGGATGGAGTTCAGACCTGAAGGAAAGTGTCCAGAGAGAAGAGGCTTCCATGCTTCATTCATTCACAACAACTGCCTTTATATTCATGGAGGTCATGACATTAGAGAAGGCACTTTTAGTGGATTCTGGAGACTTGATCTTTCAAGTGACCAGTACATCTGGGAGAAAATCGAAATCAAAGGCATCAAGAAACCTGGGAAAATTGCTTATCATACCCTATCTCTGATCGACAGTCACACTTGCATTTTAGTCGGAGGCTCCAACTTGGGTGTGGACAACGAACAAGTGTTCTTTCTTGATCTGGCTAAGATGGAGTGGAGAGTCGACAGAGACCCCAAGCCTGACGATCTCACATCGATTGACGAGCACACAGCTTGTGTCTACCAAGGAAACCTGTATATCTTTGGAGGCAATCTGAATGGGTTCAAGTCAAACAAAATATTTATTTACAACCTAGACTCTAAGAAATGGTCAATCAAAGAGCACGAAGACGGGATTCCGCCAAGATCAAGCCACTCTGCTGTAGTCAAAGACGGGTTTATGTACGTGTTCGGAGGCAAGGACATTGAGAACAACAAGCTTAGAGACTTCTGGAAATATGACATTGAGAATGACAAGTGGTCAAGCATTTTTATTCCAGAGAACGAAGGCCCATTGTCAAGGAGCGGCCATTCGACTGGGGTTTACAAAGACTACATCATAATTTATGCGGGGATTCACGAATTAACTCAAGAGTTATGTGATATGTATTTGTACAATACTAAAAACGGCAACTGGGCAAGTATGTTTGAGGATGTGTATTCTCCAGTGCATCAAAATAGATCAATGAATTCATTTTCAAGTGTAAACAAGAATAGTCCAATGAATAGTGATGCCAACGCCTCAGCTCAAAAGACGCATAATCCTGAAAAATCAGGGTTCTCGCTTAGCATGAAGAAGACAAAAATTCAAACACAGAAGAAGACTACCTCAATGAATTATTCAACAAATATACCTAAGAAGAAGCTACAAAAATTGATCAAAAAGAAGAGAAAGGAAGAGAGCCAGTTAAATGATCAAACTCTTCTAAGTACACCTACATCTTTATCAATGCAGAATTCTTTTCTTATAAACTCTATCAATAAAGCTTATATGGACAGACTATTTAAGAAGAATAGGAAGACTGCATCGAAAAACAGAGGATCTTTTAAGTCAAGATTCGATCCATCAGTTGATTTATCACCAGCCAAGAGGCAATACGGTAAGGTCCCTAGATTCAACCCCAAACCGAGAGATGGCCATACCGGCATCATGCTCAATGAGCGTGAGTACATCGTCTTCGGTGGTGACAGACACCACATGCCATTTAATGATGTCTCAGCTATCGATTTGAGCTTGGAAATATAATAAATTTCAACTAATCTTTCAATGGTATCTTTCATCCACGGGGTTTTGGGGTTTTGGGGTTTTGGGGTTTTGGGGTTTTGGGG